TGACGCACAATCTGTTAAATATATGTTTAACAAAGACTTTAAACATGATGCCTCGAAAATGATATTTGCAAGATGGCAGGCTCAATTAGCCCCTTTTGATTTTGAAATACAATATAAAAAGGGAATTGATAATTCTCTGCCAGATTTCTTATCTCGTGAATATTTATAGGATGGAACCCACTTGGGGTAGGGGAAGAGGTAGAGGTTGAGGAAGATCATCCCCACAGTCCAGAGGAAGATCATCACCTTCAGGATCGTCATACAGATCCACATCAAACTCCCCAGTTATACAAATGGGAAGAAAGAGTTTAACCAATGAGAGGATATCTCTCAGAGAAGAATTATCGATCGGACCATCCATCCATCTGGAAGATATTCCAGAAGATAGTCCGTTATACGCACATTTGCAGGCATATTTGACTGCTCAAAAATAGAAAGATACTTATGCTAAGCAAAGTGATACTCTTTCTTCCATTACAAAAGATGACAATGATGATATCAAGTCATATGAGAAAGTGTCTGAAAAAGAAATGATATTTCTTTTAGAAAATTCTGATATTCAGAGAAAAGAAGAGCCGTGGAAGATATTCCAAAGGTATTTGATAAATGGATTATATTATCCAGGTGAGTCATACAAAACCCGCTCTTATTATGAAACAATACTCACCAGTACTGGCAGTGCAGAGTTTCAGCACTTTTCTGGTTATAGCATAGATGAGAACGTTTATAATTTCTCGAAGATTATAATTAAACAGATTATATCTGTTGAAGACTGGGGTATATCCACAATGAAAGAAAGGCAGATAAGCCTTAACAAATCTCGAATGAATTTTACCTATTGGGATTATATCCAGGCATTTGATAAAGTGTTATACTACAATAATGATCGACACAAACATACTTGGTTTATTAAAGTATGTGTAAAGATATTTGCAGAAGCTATTCCTAATTGGTTTCTAAACTGGTGGTCATACCACGGTTCGACAGTAAAATTTTTACCTGATCCATTTCTCATGTTATACAAAAAATGGATAAAAATTTCCCCTTTTATAAACAATTTATATCACACAGATCATATCTGTTACCCAGAAAAAATTGACCAAATTTATTTCTTTCTGAAATTCTCTATTCCCTGGATTCATAAATGGACTCCAGAAGTCGGATTCACCGAAGAACAAGTCCCGTGCTTATACAGGACCTTTTACAACAACTTTTGGGATAAACTAATGAAAAAGGATCCCAAAACAAAGACATTATATGGTCAAGAACTCTTGGATTCCATCAAAGCAAAAATCCAAGAATATTTCAGCAAACCTCAGAAAGAGGTGATTGATGGCAGCTCAGTACGGCATATTGCCAGAAAGATCTCCTTTCAGGAAGGAGATAAAGAAGAATGATTAACAACTACTTGGAAGAAGTCAAAAGAAATTTACTTCGTTCCATTAATCAATATGAAAAATCAGATACTTCTATGCATAGTGAAACCAGCAACGATGATATCGCTGAAGATTCTCAACCCTTTGAATCAGAGAAAATACTATATGATGAAGATTTGCAAAATGCGGAAGAATTCCTCCGCAAAATGAAAGAATCAGACAAAAAACCAGCACAGTGAAACAGCTGGACCCCACAAACACAGTGAAGCCGCCGGACCCACAGCACAGTGAAGCCGCCGGACCCCACTCAAACAGTAACAGTAGATACACTGTTCATCAACAGTAGATACACTGTTCATCAACAGTAGAAATATTATTTTGTATAGTAAAAATACTGTAACAGGGACCCACGGGACCCACTTTTTACTGTTCATAGATTCTTTTCTTTTCTATTTATACGTTTCATTCGTTCAGAAGAAAATGAAGGAAGCGAGACCCTCTCTCTCTAGAATTCTCACTCTCTCTCTCTTCAAAGTGTAATTAAGAGTTTGTAGTTTGTTGATTGTAACAAGAAGAACAAGTAAATAAAGTTTTCAGTTCTTCATCTTCAGGCCTTGCATCCCGACCATAAGGTACTGATTTCTTTCTTAGTTAGTTTTTCTTCTAGTCTCTCCTCTTTGGCCGTGACGATGTCCGGCTAAGAGACTTCATATCTATGTTGAGTATCTAACTTCTCTCTTATATAAACCATGAAAGAGATGGCATCTATTTAAATATAAATGAACTTTATATATAGAGTTTTGACTTGGTGTCAAGATGGTTGGTACAGTCTAATATAACACTGCTCTTATTGGCTTTGCCTTAGTGGCTTCGTCTAGCCAGCCGTGAACCTCAGCCCGATAAAGGAGTTTAAAAGGGCCTCTTCTTTCACGGTTAAAACTGCTAGACACATGGGCTCAATAAAAGTATGTATTATATTACGACAGACCCCTTGCTTGAGTAAAGGTTTTAACCTTCCATACAATCATTAAACTATATATAAAATTCAAGTATATTTCAATTCTTATATCCTTGCTGATTGTGCGGATTACCGCCAGTCTTTAAATATAAAGGTACTGAATTAGCTAGATTAAGAATTCTGAAGTATGTTAAAATAGAAATCTTTAACTGGTGGAAACCTCGGTGGACATATAAAAGTAAGCAGAGGTGCGAAACAATTCCAGTTCCCAGTCAAACGGTGATTTCTGTTTTAGCTTAGTCGAGAAGGCCGTGCGGATTACC